ACGAGCTGAACATCGCTCAGATGACAGTTCATGAGACGGCGTGGTTTGAGTCCTATTCTCGAGTAATCTCGGATAGGGTTACGCGCATTGAGAACAATCTGGAGCTCTACCGAAGTGATGTCATCTCGTGCACCGATAATTACCGGCTCATCTACAATTTATCCGAGACCGTTCGCATGCTTGGACTTGAGATGTCGAGTCATTGGAAGAACTTCAGTGATCTTATCCATACGTTGAATCGGTTTGCCAAAACCGTCATTCCGACCTCCAAGACTCAGGAGATCATCGAGTCACTGGATGAGCTGAAAGTATCCATCAACAAGCAGCAGAAGCAGCTTTGGAGTGCGCGTGCGACCCAAACCGGAATGGTCTCTCGTCAGGACAAGATCATCTCCAGTTCGGCCACGAATGAGCAAGTGGCTCATCTGCACGCACTGATTGCCACTCTTAGGGAAGAGCTGAACAACGTCCGTGGGACGGTGTGTCAGCTCAATGCGACCTCCAGGGTGAATACCACGAAGAGTTCTCGCAGAGTGGATCAGGTCATCGAGGATATAAGCAATCTCAAGGACTCCAGCTACAAGCTCGAAGATTTGATTCGACGACTTGAGGACAATTTCAGGAAAAAGTCCAAGTCCGATGCTGATCGCATCCAGGATATCGAGGACACTGTTTCACAGCGGGCCCTGGAGTCGGAGGAATCGTTTGCCAGCAATGAGATTCGCCTTCTGAGCATTGAGTCCAGGCTCATTGACGTGGAGGGAAAGATGAAAACAACCATCGGATGCCCGATCTGCTCCGATCTCTACTGAGGAACCAGACCGCAACTTCCACAATCGTTCTTCCGGAAAGCCCAACTCGGAGAATGGTAGGACATCTACCCTGGGACCAATGGTTGATGTCTATTCCAGCAAGGTCGTCCTCATGAAGTTGTATACTCGCAAGAGGAAAGGTTGTGGTTGGCTATGCGAACATCGTTATGAAGACCACTGTCTTTGGATAGATGGTATGGCAGTCATGACTCATGTTGTCGGCTCTTTGACCAGGCTTACGAGCCGACGATGTGTCAGAGGTGGAGTCACTCATGAATGTGAGCGACGCTAATTGTCTATGCTCCCTCTGCGAGAAGCCACTACCGCCTGGAACTCGTATTATGATTCCAGTGGTGCGAGTGGCAGATTGAAATTTCGGATTAAGCGCGCATGTTTATCATACCATGCCACAATTTAATAAACACTTTTGGTTCCCCTTTCTCGATCGGTTCGTTATTCAAAAAATGGTTCTATGTTCATAGTCACCATTTGGTATTTAGCATTCGATGCGGTAGCCATGAGATCTTTTTGCCATATCTGTGCCGGGGTTTGTTCGGGAGTGTTCATACTTCCTGGAGTATTTTGTGTGAGCGAAAACTTCCCCTTGGATATGAGATCCATATATCATCAGGGGTTGAAATGTTCAGCCGAGCTGTCATCCGTTGATCAGGCAGATGACAAGGTAACTGTGGTTTTTTCATCTAGTGCATTCAGATGGGATCAATTGCCAAACTCCAACTCCGTAGTGGAGCCCGTGACACTGACGCTTTTCTACGAAGTTTCTCCATGGAGATCTCCTCGCTTGATTTCCAATGAATTTGCTCAAACTCTCCTGAGTTCGAAGTCTCTCTCTACTAGATTGAAGCCTTTCACTGTGATAATGGAATCTCCAGAGTCATCTCTCTTGTCTCCATAATATCCTTGGGAGGTTGCTCTTGAGGATTCGGACTTCTCACAGTCAGCCTTGGTGACTTTTCCCGTGATGGCATTGACATCAGAGCCCATGGTTGTTTCACCAAGTTCCACACTCCAAGTCTTAATCTCACTCGATTTTTTCTTCGGATACTGAAAGGTAATTCCACACAGAGGGTCTCATCATTGATTCAGTCAACCATCACCAAGACGGGTATTTATTCTGCTACGAGTGCTCCGATCCTTCAGAGTCCGACGCCACCTTTACCAAGCACCTACTTCTTCTTTCAAGGGAAGTTCTCCAAGTAACTCTGGTTTCTTATCTTTAAGGACGCCCAACAAGATCCATTTTGGCTAGATTCGTACAATGGAGGATTCTCCCTACTACAGGAGAGATCCTAAGTACAATCGGGTCATCGTTCCGTCGGTTCATATCGTGGCTTATTCAAGCTCTTCGCTTCGTTTGGGAGCTTCTCTTCTACTTCCTTCGGTCAAAGTAGGACTCATTCCTGATCTAGAGGTGGCCGGAGCAACACATGCGACCTCGACCTCCAGACCTAGGATTTCTACCACCCGATCTTTTCTGCCCCCAAGCAAGGTTATCACAACCACTTGTCCAACAACATTGAAGAGAGTTTCAACATCTTTTGCCTTGTGCTTCCAGTAATGTCAAGACTCTGAGTATTGCTCCAAGCTTGGTCACAGTTGTTTTTCCACAGACTGACTACTTAGTAGAGTCATTGACCACCGACACCCCGGGGGTGATAACTGAGTCTATGACTACCACCGAGCTCCCAGTGATGATGATTCACCTCTCGTGGTCTAAATTCCGTTGTACTCGACTGGATTACAATCATCTCTGTCGATCTGATTTAGACAGAACCTTCGATGTGGCACGCGGGTCTTCTAGCTTCAGTATAATTAATTCGCGCTTTTCAGAAAAACGATATTTATTTTAAGGGCGTAAATAGTAAATTGATTGAGTATCTTGGGTAGAATCGTGAATCGTGATATGGGGAATTAGGGCTGCCCGGAACTCCTCCGGCGGACTGGCTCTCTTCCGTTGCTCGAGAAAGGATTTCTCCAGTCTTTCCGTGGGGAAGGCGCCTTTCGTGTCGGCTAGTAGAACGCCAAGTTTTGGAAAGCCACTATATTTTACGGAAACTGTGAGATAAAACTCTCGAGTCGGAGGAGAGTCACACGAATCCGATGGAGTGAGGAGGTGAGGAGTAAGGGAGTCTCCGACTATTCCCTCTTCCTTTGTGAAGCGGCATGTGTGGCGAATCGCGAATAATATCACGGAACTTGGGTAGAGATTCTACGGTCGGAGAAAGCGATTCCCTTAGCTTCCTAAGAACTGTCCGCGCCCTCGCTCCAGCTCTCCTTTTCCCTCCACGCCATAGCCGAGACTATGAAAGATGAGCTCTCGATTAGAAGAAAGTTCCTCAGCGGACTCAAGTATGATTGGTTATCGAAGTACTCTTCATGAAGATCCATTTACCGCTCGATACGCGGCCTGGTCTCGGAATCGAGGTCTTCATGGGTCAGACACAAATAGGTGACTCAAGTACAAGGTGGACTCAAGTTGAGGGGACTCAAGTGTGAGATCGAACTGTAATGGAATTCGTTGGAATTCGGACTCCAGGCGTATTATAGTCTAAGACCATACATCCTTCCACAACACCGATATGTATGATCTTTACTACCATTGCTATTTACTATTCGTGCTTGGTGACCGTCACGCTTCGAGACGGGGCCACGACGACCGACTGTCCAGTCGTGAGAATCGCTTACAACATCAACTTGAACCTCTCCCCAGGCATCGAGAGAGTCTTCAATGAGAAGCTGCTTCGTATGGACCCGTGCTTGCTCCCTCGATTCCTCCGAATCTTCGTCTTTTTCACGGAGCTGGAATCCAAAGACGTAGAAGACAGAAGGGCTCCCCTCGCAAGTACGGGATGGCCGAGATCTCTAATCGCGGCCAAAGCTGATTCCCCTTTTTCAAAGCGCTTTTATGATTCTACAGCCCGAATAATCAAACTCTACTGCTTGACCGATCGGCAAACCGCGCGATCCCAACGATAAAACTTTCCTGGGTTTCCTGGCGAGCGGTGCCGATACAGCCGACTCCGGGGAGATGATTTGCCGGAAACGGGAGCTGATGCGGTCGTTGATCGGCACACCGGGAATTTTTATTGGCGAGAAAAACTCGCCCCCTCGGGTTATCCCTCGTTTGAGGGAGGCCATGGGCAGCGTGAAAATTCCGCATTTTTTCTAATGAGGGGTATGCTCGACAATTGTCCAGAGCCCCGGATGAGTGCCCCCCAAAGGGAAGTGCCCGTTTTTATGAGCAAATGTCCATTGGATCGGACGATCTGTGAGCTGGGACGCGAAGCAAACCGGAATCGTAGCTTCGGGAAGGCACAAACGGATACTTGCCTGTCCCTCGTATGATAAACATACCGTACTAGGGTTCAATGCGAATCACGAAATCACATCCTGTTTCGCATCATTCACATCTGTAAGCTCGTCTAAGCCAATCTCCTCCGTATATGGTGCCCGTCAAATAGAGGTTCAGAAGAGTGTCCGATAATAAAGGCTTGCCCGCCTGAGTAAGATCTCCCAAACACGGCCCGTCAGATAGAGTATGCTTAGCAATCCGAATATGTCTTCCTATTAGAGGATGACGGTATTTGCTTGAGCCCCTCACCTCGGATTCCACTCGATCGAGATCATGACTTCTATGCACAGGTGTCTTCGATGAACCTTTCGAGAAAAGCCTCGCTATCAAGATAAGTATCCAGCCAGATCTCGGCACGGCTCCCCGCTTCGAGAGAGTCCGCGTATCCGAGGGGAGATGCGAGTAACTCGGGAATCGAGAGACCGGGTGGTTTCCACTCGTCAAGAAACTCCTTGAGTTAAGAGCTGATTCATTCCTCCCTGCCACAGCTACTGCATGTCGGTCTCCAAAACCAACTCTCCTCGGAGGGTAATAGCCAAATGGAGAGAACGTACGTAGAATCACGGAGGTCAACTTCATTTATTTATCGCTGTAGTCTCAACTGATGTGTAAATAACTGAGATAAAAGTGCTTATTCGGAATAATCAATAAATATTCTTCATCGAGGTAACGTGGAGAGCTGATCCTCTCAAACGGAGCACAGCCTCGTAATCATTATAAAGTCGCGTATATATATAAATAACTTAGGAGAGAAAAAAACATTGTCCAATACTTTGAACGGATCTGGTCTATGTCCATCTCTTGACTTGAGGGACTCGATTCGTTCCTCTGGAGCTTTTCAGTTCGCTCCTAGAACCATCGTGAGTAGGGCCATTCTCACGTACATCCCATTTTCACTTTGCCTGAAGTAGGCTGCTCGTGGGTCGGAATCGAACTCGGGGCTGTAATAAGATAAACAATTCGAACATTAGAAATGACCGACTCGCCTCCGATGATAATGATTCATGAGGATGTTTTCTTATTTATTACGCCGGTGGCCTGATTCCACCCAATCGGGTACCTGATCTCGTTGACTCGAGGCAGAGGATGCATGACGGCCATTTTGCGCTTCGCATGCGCCATGAGATCTGGTGTGATGATGAACAAGTCCTTCACTCGTTCGAAATCAGCTACGCTCTTGAAGCGCTCCTTCTGTATCCGCGTCACGTAGACGATATCGGCGTCAATCACAGCCTCTTCCAGCGAATGGAACGTCGCTTGCGGGATATGCTTCGACTCTAGCTGTTTCTTGATATGCTCAGGCATTTCGAGGCCATTGGGAGCGACGTAACGGAGTTGAACCTTGTAGTGGGAAAGGAGCTGCACGAGCGAGTGAACGGTGCGGCCGTGTTTCAAGTCTCCCACGAGTGTTATCTGCGAACAAGGAGGAGTTTCAGCATCGCCGACAATCTCAGCATTCTGAAGACACTCTTAATTCCTCGCGGAGGCTCACCGTCAAACCGTTGACTGTTCCGATTTCCTCTCGGATCGTGAAAACATCGAGCAGCGCCTGCGTCGGATGTTCACCGACGCCGTCTCCGGCGTTGATCACGGGTCGTCGGCTGAACTTTGCGGCTCGAGACACGGATCCTGGCTGAGGGTGTCGCAGGACGACGATATCACTGAAAGAAGACTCCGCTTAGAGACGTCTCCTCAGGAGTCCCTGGATTTGTTTTTCTGATTGGATAGTGCATAGTAGTGAGATTTGGCTGAGCCACGTGAGGAGCCACGAACCTGTAGCTCGAAGTTATTGCCACGGTGTCTTCGAGAGATTCCCCTTTCTGAGCGGAAGACGTCGCGTTGTCGATGGATATGACGCTTCCACCGAGTCGTTGCATGGCCGCGGCGAAGGACGCCGAAGTTCTTGTCGAGGCCTGAAATCACGTTCGGTAAGCACCCGTCACCACATCGTGAATCCCCTTGAGCTCAGTATCCTTCATGGTTCTCATTAACACGACGTATTATGCTGGTGACGCAATAGTCAGTGCGGGAGACTCACCTCGTAGAACACCGATGCCATGACCTTACCCTGTAGAACGTCATTGAGGGTTTTTCCCTTATGTACGGACATGGAGTACTTTTGTGCGAGATTGAAGATTGCGTGCAGCTGATCCCTGGTGAACATATCAGCTGAGAGGATATTGCGGCCTCTCAATGACGGAGCTCCGGGAGCCGATTTTCCGGGAGAGAGGAGGAGCGCTGCGTCGCCCTGATCTTTCTCTTCGTTGTCGATCTTCCCGAGACCGAGCTCAGCGAACATCTGATCGTAAAGTTCAGCCGAGGCTTTCACCGAGTTCCTCCTTCGAGTATTGGCGGAGTCCAGTCGAGGACGACTCGTCACGCCGACAGTTCCCGCCGGAGCTCCCTTGCTGGGGGTCTTGTTGGGGCCGGCTCTCACAGTCCGAGCGAGCGAAAAGATATCTTCCCCTGAGCCGGGTGCCGCGAGAACAGACCCGTCGATGTAAACAGTTTCGTTGCGGAGTATCACACGGCGGACCTGTCCTCGCACCTTCCGGCCGGCGAATGGAGTCCATCGAGCCTTCGAGAAGGGCAATCTCTCAGGAATCACCCATTCCTTGTCCAGATCCACCTCGATATAAGTATCCGGCTGTTCTGGGAGATTGAAGATCCGCTTCGGATTGGTGTACATCTTCGCGACGACATCGTCCAAGGTGAGCCTCTTCTGACTGACAGCTGTCAGCATCAAGGCGAGAGCCGTCTCCAAACCAGGGAAGCCCGGCGGCGGAATTGTGGAGTTTTTCTCGGCTTTTTGGTGAGGCGCGTGATCGGTGGCGATGCAGTCGATGTAATCCATGTGATCCCAAAGTGCCTGAACGTCGCGCTCTGTCACCAGAGGGGGCTTCACGTAGGCGAGATTCTCGCCGATGCTTTTTCCAGCCCCTGCTCGGGTCATGAAAAGGTGGTGAGGCGCAACTTCACAAGTCACGGGAAGACCGAGTTCCTTCGCCGCTTTTATCGCCAAAATCTCCGCCTCGGTGGCCACGTGACAGACGTGCACCGGCCTCTTGTTTGCGAGCAGCAGAGCCATTCCGAGCGTCGCCCCTTCGGCGTGAATGCAGACAGGAATATCAGTGGGCCAGTTCTCGAAGTGAGCGACCCAATCCGCGAAAGATTCGAGCAGGAGCGGTCCGTGTGTGTTGTTCAGGTACATCTTGAGACCGCAAACTTGCGGTGCCAAGCTTTGGACCGTTCCCGTATTCTCGCTCGAAGCTCCCGCGAAGAGCGCGTAGTCGCATCTCGCGCCCTTTTTCGCAAGCTGCTTGGTGACGGAGAGATTCTCCAGCGTCGTGGCAGGTGGGTCCGTGTTCGGCATCGCGAGGATCATCGTGAATCCTCCGGCTAGGGCAGCAGCGGTGCCGCTGGAGAAGTCCTCTTTTTGGACCTCGCCGGGTTCTCGCATGTGGACGTGGATGTCGATCAGCCCCGGCAGACGCACGAACTTCTGCAGAGTCATGCAGTCTACGTGCGTTTTGATCGTTGGAGTACGCCCGATGAGACGTATGGCTTCGATGATGAGTTTCGCGCACTTGACGTCGGTGATGAGGGGGACGGCGCAGTCGATCGCCTTCCTGCGAGTGCGGTAACCCTGGGTCATGAAAGAGGAAACCCGGCGAGTACCACTCGACTCCATGGGGAGGTTTATCACGAGGTCGAAACCTTTCTGCTCGAGATAGTCGACGATCGAACGGATCTGTGCGGCGTTCCCCTGTCCGATATCGTCGAAGGGCCACGTGACCGGTTGAATTTTAATTCCGTGTTCCTGGTAGAAGTCGGCTGTCCCCAAGCTGCCGAACAGTTTGTAGCCCATCTTCTCGAGACTGCGAACACTCGGCAGCATTTCGTTCTTGTGCTTGTAGCTGCCGATCGACAGGAAGATATTTTCCTCTGGGATCACGAAGCCGGTCGAAATGAGTGCTTTCATATAGGCTTCGAAACGGTTCTCTCCGAAACAGGCGACCTCGCCCGTCGAAGCCATCTCGACTCCGAGTCGGACATCGGCGCCGACCAGACGGTTGAAAGAGAACTGAGGAACTTTCACGCCGACCTTCCCGTTGCCGCGCATGCAGTCAACCGGCTCCATGCGCTCGCCGCAGATTACTCGGGTGGCCAAGCTGACCAAGTCGTAGCCCAGAGTCTTGGAAACGAATGGGAAACTCCTCGAAACCCTCACATTGCACTCGATGACTTTCAGACGATTGTCTTTCGCGATCACCTGCAGATTGAAAGGTCCTGAGACTGCGAGCGCTTGTCCAATCGCCTGCGTTATTTTCCGGATGTTGCTGAGTGTTTCTTTGTTCAAGTCTTGAGGAGGCGTCACGAGTGTGGCATCTCCCGAGTGTACTCCCGCGTTCTCTACGTGCTCGGAGATGGCGATCGCGAGGAGTTTGCCGTCCTGGGCCACAGCATCGACATCGATCTCTTTCGCTTCTTGGATGAATTTGGAGATGACGACCGGATATTCCTTGCTGACAGCTGCGGCCTCGCCCAAATACCCCTCGAGGTCTGCGGGAGAATATGCAACATTCATGGCGGCTCCACTCAGCACGTACGACGGTCGCACGAGGCACGGGTATTTCACCTGAGAATGAAGCGGACGTCAAGATTTCGGTCTGGACCGGGGGAAATCATCAATCAGTGTACACGTAGATCCTAATTCCATCTGAGCTTCCTAGTCACTTGGCTATCGCTTCCCCTATGCGTGGGAAATCTAAAGTCTACCTCATCGCAGAAAGCCCAGGCTTGCTCGACGGTGCTCAGCTCCTTCCACCGAGGCTGGGAGATCCCTATCGAATCCAACATTCGCGAGAATTTGAAACGATTCTCGGCTGCATCGATAGACTCCGGTGACGTCCCGAGAACGCGACAGTTTTGACGGTGAAGATCCATTGCGATATTGTTCGGCAATTGTCCGCCCATGTTCAAAATCACGCCTTCGGGCTGCTCCAACTGATAGATGTCGAAGACGGTTTCAAAGGAAATGTCGTCGAAGTACAGTTTGTCGCACATGTCGTAGTCGGTCGAAACGGTCTCCGGGTTGAAGTTCACCATTATGGTTTTCTTCCCCATTTTGCGCAGCTCCTGTAGCGAAGATACGGCGCACCAATCGAATTCCACGGAGCTTCCTATGCGGTAGGCGCCCGAGCCGATCACCTTCGGAAGAAAACGCGGAATATGAAGACCATATGATCCGGGTTCTCAATAAAGTCAACATGATATAGACGAGATCATGCCCAACGATCGAGGAAAGCTTCAGGATGCCCAGAGGATAAATTATGTACCATGATGGTGTTGTCGACGATTCCGGTCTGCGCCAGAGGGATATCGTGCTCCTCGGCGTTGTACGTCAGATAGAGATAGTTTGTCGACGCGGGATACTCTGCGGCAACGGTATCGATTTGCTTCACGAACGGTCTCACATCGAGTTCCTCTCGCCTTCTCCGTACTTGCAGCTCGGAGCTGTGGATGCAGCTTGCGATCTAGAGAGAGGAGAATTTCCCATTGAGCGAATTCATGTTGGAATGAATAGCATGGGAAGGCACGTGGATGGACGGAGGGGAAAGGCGAGCCACAAAATATCACGCTGTATTGCACTGACCTGTTTGTCGGAGAATCCCAACTGTTTCGCTTTCTGGAGTAACTCTGATTGCAGTTTATCCGCTCCGCGCAGATCCTCGAGGTCTTTGTACATATTCGTGATGTTCTCCATCTTGTTCAGGAACCAGGGATCGATCTGGGTGAGCTCGTGCAATCGCTCGACAGTGTATCCGCGGATCAGCGCGGACGCCAAATGGAACAGTCGTTTGTCCGTTGGTGAAGACAAATGATCTTCGTCGGCTCTTTTCACGTACGGGTCGAAACCGTTGCCACCTTCGACCATTCGGATTGCCTTTTGGAAGGCTTCTTCAAAGTTGCGTCCGATGGCCATCGCTTCACCGACCGATTTCATTGAAGAACCGATCTTACTGGAGACGTGAAGGAATTTGCCGAGGTCCCATCTGGGAATCTTCAGGACGACATAATCCAAGCTCGGCTCGAAACAGGCTGTTGTTGTCCCGGTAACGGAATTCTTCAGGGAAACCAGCGATTTACCCAATGAGAGCTTCGCAGCAATGTACGCCAGAGGGTATCCGGTCGCCTTACTGGCGAGAGCAGAGGACCTCGACAATCGCGCGTTTACTTCGATGATGTAGTATTCGTCGGAGTTCGGACTCAAAGCGTATTGCACGTTGCATTCTCCCACAACACCGAGATGTCTGATGATCTTGATTGCCGTCTCTCTCAACTTATTGTACTCGGTGTCCGTCAGGGTTTGAGAGGGGGCCACGACGATCGACTCCCCGGTATGGATTCCGAGCGGATCGAGATTCTCCATGTTACACACAGTTATGCAGTTGTCGAAAGAGTCGCGTACGACTTCATATTCGACCTCTTTCCAGCCCTTCAGTGATTTATCGATGAGAACCTGCTTCGAGTGAACCAGTGCTTGGTTCATCAATTCCTTGAGATCTTCGTCGTTCTTCGCAAAGCCGGAACCTAGGCCTCCGAGACAGAAGGCTCCCCTCACGAGAACGGGATAGCCGAGAACTCGAGCTGCGGCCAAGGCCTCTTCAAGACTCTCAACAGCGCAATTAGGCACGACCTTCTCGCCGATTTCAGCCACCCGTTCGGCGAAAAGTTTCCGGTCTTCAGAATGTATAATAGACTGGATCGGAGTGCCGAGGACTACAACCTTGTGAGTCTTGAAAATTCCTTGCTGTTCCAAGTCGATTCCGCAGTTCAAGGCGGTCTGACCTCCGAAAGTGAGCAGTATCCCATCGGGTCTCTCACATTTTATCACCTGTGTCACGTATTCCGGTGTGATCGGCAGAAAATAGACTTTGTCCGCCAGACCCGAGCTAGTTTGGACAGTGGCTATATTCGGATTGATCAGAATCGTCTCGATTCCCTCTTCCTTGAGCGCTTTAATAGCTTGAGAGCCGGAGTAGTCGAACTCTCCTGCTTGACCGATTGACAGACCGCCCGACCCCAACAATAGAACTTTCCTGGGTTCTCTGGCGAGCGGTGCCGGAACAACCGACTTCGGGAAGGGGATTTTACGGAAGTGCGAGTTGATGCGGTCGTTGATCGGCAGGCCTGGCATCCTGATCGACGAGAAGAATATGTCGAATAGGAACTCCATGTCCGTCGGTCCGGCATGGTGTTCCGGATGGAACTGGACGCTGAAGTACGGCTCCATGCGGTGCGCGATGCCTTCATTCGTTCCATCGTTTGCGTTGGTGAATAGGGGAATCCAGTCGGATGGCAGGGATTCGGCCTCGACGGCGTAACCTGCGATCGAGAACTCTCGATTTACTTCGCGATAATTGTTCCAATGTATGGAGTTGCTCGGCGCGAATGCCCGTCGAGCCGGAGGAGTTTCGACCAGAGAGGATCGATTATTATTATCGTTTTCCGTGATTCTCACCGTGATTCTGCGACGTTATGCAGCACCTCTTCGACCCCTCATGGAAACACGGCTGGTTGTGACCACGGTTCCCGTACTTCAGTTTCTTAGTCACAGCGCCGGCAGAGAGCGCGAGCAGCTGGTGTCCGAGGCAGATGCCGAAAATCGGCTTCGACGGATGTTTTATCATGAATTTCCGTATGCCTTCGATTGTCAGAGCGCAGAAGGTTGGATCGCCGGGACCGTTGCTCAGGAAGAGCGCGTGTTGAGCTTTAAGAGGATTTTGGCTCATTAGACATCGGTGCTCGCAGCCGTCGCCGGTGGCACCCTCCCATTCTCTCGGTCAGAGTCGGCCGATTTCTTCAGATTGAGCTTTGTCAAGGCCCCGAGAAGGTAAAGAAGCGGAGCGTCGATTCCGTTTTCCAGGATAATTTCATGAACCCACCTTCTAGCTCGTAGAACTTGTAATCGTAAGGGACGATGGTGAGACAAGCTCCTCGTTTCAATAGACATCTTATCTGATGGTTCTTCAGGCCACAATCGACAACAGTTATTTTCGGCGATCCCTGTGGATTGAGGACTCGTGGCGCCGCGCAAGCAACTTCCTTCACCAGATTTATCTTGTTAGGGTCCGTGAACTCTTGTTCCAGAGGCGGTGGATCATCGGAGACAATGATCTTCCCGAGAAGTGAGCCGTGCTCTCGGATAATCTTCGTCAGGCTTCTCGTGTCGACGCCGTCCAGACCGAGAACTCCTTCGTCTTTCAACCATTGGTCCAAAGTGCGCGTCGAGCTCCAGTGGGAAACCTTATCAGCGAGCTCAGATACGATGAGCGCTGACGGCCAGATACGATGGGATTCCATGAACCTGGAATGAGATCATATTTCACTATTCGATGAAATATTCCACGGGACTGAGCGGATCGAAGCATCTGATGATCGAAATCGCTGGAGCTTACAATGGTATGCCGTGCTGGTCTTCCTCGGTGCCCGAAGGTACTCCGTAGTTTCCGATCAACGGATAAGTGAGCACCAAAAGCTGTCTTCGATATGACGGGTCCGTCAATGACTCCACGTATCCAACCATCCCAGTCTGGAAAACTGGAGGGTCGACGAAAAATTGTTAGTTTTAATGTTTCTGTCTCACGGGTTGAGACTCGCGTCGAGCCCGGTTCCGTTCCCGAGACGTTTCCGGTAATGATCGCTTATCGGGCTCAATAATCCACGCTCGATAATTCATAATAGCAGCGGCACTCCCAAGAGAAAAACTCAGGCACTCACCGACTTCTCCGTCCGCGGGCTTGTCAGTGGCTCCAAAGGCCCTCCCCTTGAAAACGGTGCCATTTTCCAAGACGAGATAGGCTACCGGTCGCGACATGATGGTCGGCTGAATGGAACCCGATCGATTTCCTGACCGCGTTGCCCGGCAGGTACCCGAAACTTAGCGACAGCAGCTATCTTGCATCTATGTCGAGATTGGATCTGAAAGTCAGAGGATCCGAGTTACATTGAGTCGTTCTGCACCGAGTTCCTCGAAGCAGTCGCCTGAACCGATCATTCGATTCGGATTCCTTCCTGCCATTTGAGCTGTATCATTCCGCATCCTGCATGCCGATCAAGTCTCGGCGACTCCAGCCAGAGAGGTCTTGTCCTCCCCCAGGGACCAAGCTCCGCTTTTGAGCCCCAGGAGTTTTCATGCCCGGAGCGGAGCGCTCCCCTGAGTCATTTGTTTCGAACTCGCTTATGATGTCATTGTAAACATCGGCTGCAGTCATGGTCGAAACATCAATCAGGAAGTGGAGCATTATGAGATTGAAATCAAGAGAGTTCAGAATGATTCCTCTCGCCGTGGTATTCGTTTCCTCAAAACGGTTGTTTACTATGGGGATCCGCCCATTGACGACGTCCCAGCAGTCTGTTTCCTGGGACAGCAGAGCACTTATGATTTTCTTCCACATTTGATATTTTTCCCCAAATGATTCGGGTTTGAAGGCCGACAAGTTCGGCATCTTCGATGCTTGGGTGTCGGTGGATTCACCTCTATGCATCTTGGGTTCGGTTGATAGCTCGGTTGTATTACTAAGATTGGAAACTGGATCGAATGAAACTTCCAATACGAAATAGCCGTCGCTATTGATCGAGCTATTCATCGACAAAATACTGCGGTATTGATGACACTGTTGCGGTTTCTAGATTCTTCCTACTGGGAACTCACCTAACTGTAGGTGAGTCAGGTAGTTTTGCTGAACTCTCCACCTCGATGAACGAGTAAAGTGGTCATAATGTGATAAACAGGGGATAGGGAAGCTTGTAGTGGCACAGAAGATTGCTTTGTGAGATAGGGTCGAAGGCAGAAGGGCCGAGGCGAATCTGAAGTTGAGTCACCGTACTCGTGAATAATCGAAGAAGCACTCTGGTTGAGCTCCCACGAGACAGTGTGTTTATCGATTGAAAGGTTGTCTCTTATACTATTGTCCATGAGAGAGGGAAACCCATGTTGAGGCGCCGATCCGGCACCCCTTCTACATGATTGATGAGCACTTCCCCGTACACTATGGTTCGCCAGAATTGAACACAGGGCTCTCACAAGCCGAGCGCTTTGTCGGCACTTGTGGTCGTGCGCAGCCGTATGCGGAGCCGCTCTGATTCTCAAAACCGTACTGTTTCTCTTGAAGACGGCTCAATCCATTTAGAATGATCCCGCCTCGATGACAGGTAGCTCGAGGCGAATGTTTCAGCGGTCTTCGAGAGATTCATGATGCGCCCTCGCGGTATGACTTGGAGGCATCGCTATCTATGTTTCTCTATCTTCAAGAGTTCTGCACCGAGTTCCTCGAAGCAGTCGCCTGAACCGATCATTCGATTCGGACTTCTCTCTGTACTTTGAGCTGTATTATTCTGCATCCTGCATGCCGATCAAGTCCCGGAGACTCCAGCTGGAAAGGTCCCGTCCTCCCCCAGGGATCAGCCTCCGCTTATGAGCCCCAGGAGTTTTCATGCCCGGAGCGCGCCCGCCGCTCCCTCCCTGGTACGGCTTCTCCTTCCGGAGCTCGATCCACCATTGAACTCCCATCGAGAAGGAATTTCGGCCCGACTCAGATCGGCCCGCGGGGCTACTCCTCGCGAAATACTCACGTCGTACACGGCCGTTGCCTCGACGTCGGCTGATTACAGGCACAAAGAGAATCACAAAGCTCCGCTTGTGATGAATCGACTCACGCTTCGGAATGTATCAGAGCTCGATGCACGAAACTGGGCCCTTTAGCGCTTCAAGAAGGGGAAGAGATTGTCGCTAGGAGGGAACTATTCGAGAAGAAAGATGCCCCGACCGGAGATATAGCCGACAAAGAGTTAGATCCCGATGAGGGCGTCGAGAAGTTATCCCCAGAGGACTCGGATAAGTAGGAGGAGATGCAAATTGATCAATCAGTGTTCTTAGAATCCCGATGAGGGCGTCGAAAAAAAATTCCCAGAGGACTCGCATTAGAAGGAGGAGATGCAAATTGATCAATCAGTGTTCTTAGGATGCGAGAGAGTGAGTTTCGCAATGCCGGGGAGTGGAGCCCTCGTCCCTTTGGACATTCAACTCCGACGATCGACACAAATCTGAAAGGAGTCTTCTTTCTCAGACCCGCACCAAGTGTCCGAGATACGAGTCTCTCAGGAGGGACGTCCTATCTCCGTGAGGAGGTGTTGGGTCAATCGTTCATGAATATTAACCGACAGTCCCATGAGAGGAGATGTCTGATCATTTGAAAGAAATGGTCGAACATCGCGAGGAGCCAGCGCTAACAATAGCGACAACCCGTTCTCCATCGGAGAGCCGACCATGGTGTCGAATTTCCAACCGTTATTCCAACCTTAAAATATCAGAACGCTCCGAGACCGCCATCGTTAGTCTTTCACATACTCTCAGCGGTACTATATCGACCCTTTCATTGGAATGCAGCCAAAGGGTCTCAGGAGTAACCCTCCGGACTATATTCAACAAATACCTTGTGCAACTTTCCTCCTTCGCCCGACATCTGCTCAAGCGGCAGTCTACCTCAATCCAGACCCCGGGACATCTTCCTTTTCTCCAAATTACCGTTCAGATCCACAACAACTTCCATCACCACAGGGGTGCTACCGGAAGGATTTCGGCCTAGAGTCTGGAGAGTTTCAAATCGAAAAGACGGACGGAGTGGCCAGTTCCTACCCGAGGGAGACCGCGCGTAATGATCCAAGCTCTCGGAAAAGGTATCTGCTGTCTACAGAACCGTATTGCCTTGTGTTCAAGAGTGCTCCAAGTCATTGTGGGCTTGACGGTCTTGACCCAATCATCTCTCCGATCGGGTCTTCGATCTGTGGACATACTCGTACCCGTCGGCAATCACGGGACCGATGTGCCATCGCACGCACACGCTGCGAGCTATAACCTCAGTTGAACGCCCAACTCTCCAACTAGACCTCGCAAATGACCGCAAATTCCCAGGGGCGCGGTTTGCGATTAGTCCGAAACCACGAATGGAAAACCGCGGCTCCCCGAGCCTCAGGATAGGCAAAATATATGCTCTTTCCCATGACCTCTCCTTCTAAGCATTATTCCCATCTCGATCTTTACGAATTATGACTTGGATGGCTTCATTAACGAACACGGGGGCGATAGAAAAGGCACGAAATTCCGGCTCAAAGGTACCGATTTTTCCTACTCGTATAAGTTAGCCGTAGCGTCCACTTTTATCACTCTTTCGCGATGAATTCCTTCAATTCATCGGTTTCCGTGTCTACCTCTCAGTTGACCGGAGAGAAACCATTCGATCCATCTCTTCTAATTTCTGCTCGTGGAACTTCCTCAGAATGATGATGTTGTCCAGCGTTCGAAGCTTGAGACTAGGCCTATTCTCCACAGCAATAGCCGAACAACGCTAAGACCTCGCTCGACCTGAACAGATGTCGACGAGATCGATTGGAGAATTTCACGACAACGCTCAAGAAGACGACCCCGACCTCCACCCGCCAATTCCAAAGGGCAAATTCCTGACTCGGATTTTGCCGCGTGCGCTTTCCTTTTGTTAGGAAGCTCTCAAGTTCGGGTTCAGATTGGCTCCGGAAGCACGAGACTCAAGTCGATTGTCGGATTTTCATTTAGCCTCTGGGCAATGAACGTGCCGCTTTCCGCGCGAACCGACTCTGTCTCGATCGCTATCAGCAAGCCAAAAATGAACCGCAACTGTTTCTTCCCTCGGACTGGAGACGCACTTGACGGAACATTCAAAATCTACGTGCACACATCGAATTTCGAGAATCTCGTGCGGCGGTCGAATATTAAAAAGAATGCCACGGAAATTGATATGCTTCGGGACACTGCGTTACGGATCGTCTTGGAACTTCATGCCGATCGCTTCTGCGCGTCCCCGAGAGTCTTCCACACTCTTCCCTCGCGAGCCCAGGTGTCCCCGGGGAAATAGGCGATTGATAGCGGTTATGGCCGCAGACGCTGCGGTTAGAAAACCGCGGTAATTCGCGGTATTTCGAATGTTTAGGGCAAATAATGATCGGTACGCTCTACGCTTGATCAGACCCGTATCTATGACCACTCATGTGCTCTCATTTCGAGAATGCTGAAGGTTACGGAAACTTGAGTGTACCACGTGCTCGTCCCGTCGAAAACACTCGATTCAGTCAATGAACGAGCCACTGATCATCCTCTCCGCTTGAGACTATCCTCAAGAATCCACGCAGGGCTAGGTTCACGATCTGCTTTCATCTTTCAATCACAGCGGGGAAAGCACATCGGAGATCCTCGAGGAACAGTACGGGTGAAAATTCGGATTGTAAAATCCTCACCTGACTCAGATGCCCATCGGCGATATTGTATCGCAAGAGTTTCCCGTCAGAAAACGTCCTTACGTCACAGACCACACCTTCTATCGGGAGCCGCGTGCAGATGAAGTGCTTCAGGCACGAGCTCACAATTAGTCGTGGGGCTTTCGTCAACAGCAGCAAGGAGATAGCGCGAGTGAACTTTCTGCCGAGTGGAGAGCGCTTCCAGCTCCATCCTCTCCACGATCACTGTAGCGGGAACCGGCATTCGAATACTATTGGAGGACACCTAAGCCAATTCATTGACGCGACGTCAGACGCGAATTTCTCGAGATTTAATCCGGGCACTTCCGGCGAGTTATAAATAGAGCATCGGCTTCCATCATGTGCACATATAAAAGGAATGCATCTCATTCCGATGTCACAAGAATCAGACCGCCTCAGAGTTCGCGAGGTAAAGCCTTCGCTCTAAGCCCTCCTGTCAAAAGCGCGGTGCGGCGTTCTCATGCTCTCTGCAGTCGACTTCTGTCTCACTCATTATCCCACCGCTCTCCCTAGAGCTCTTCGGTGTAT